GAAAGTTACGTAACATAACAATACCATATAACATACCAATGACACCTACATATATCCAAATTGTTTTCTATTCCCGCGCCTCGGACTAATGTTTGTAGGCATTCACCGTTACATTTCTGCTGCATACAATAATGTCAGTTCTTATTTGCCAAATTGAGCCATATTTTTCAACTCGCAGTTAAGTTTTAAAGCCCAGATTCGGAAATTCTTTTGTTCTATGGATTAGATTGAGGTTGACGTGCTCTCTGAAGCCCTGCGATCTGTGTTACATATATTGTAATCTGGCTTTTTACTGAGAGCCGGAGAGTGTCTTGGCCTTCTTATTAATGTTTTTATCAATGGTGGAACAAATTGTTGGTGTCGTCTTTTAGACAAGGCGTACTTAAAAATATATTTTCACATATAGGTATGTTAACAATGCTGTGTCACCCTAAATTGGTATATAAGTATATATGATTTAAACCTAACTGTAATCTACTGAAGTAAGTTGAAATATGTATGCTGTTGGTTGTCTATATGAAATAAATAAATATACCTACCAATATTTATTTTGGCTTAAATTGTGTATTTAGCTACCTTTTGACACCAACTAAACCGAAGTTAGTTTTTGTCAAACTGCACTTTCAAATCTCAAAACAACTAAGACAATGAACTTAAACATAGTTACACTATATTTCCTGTATTACAAAATGAATGTTCCAAGAACATTAAACAAGGAGTGTTTAAAAATATAATATTTCACCGAGTCAGTGCAAACGCCGCGGTAATAGCTGACATCAGGAATGCTTCATGGAGCGAGTTCTCAGTAAGAAGCGCGGTCTTGTTACTTGATACCTCAGCATTTATAAATGTTTATATTTAATTATGAAGGCAAAAGCGTGGGCTGGAATCTTCATAACGGTTCTATTAAAATTGTATTTTGTCTACGTTTCAAAATACCTACATATTTCTAAAAAAATGAAACATAGTTATAGTGAAAAATAATTGAAACCCACTAATGTAAACTCCCTTTTTAATTAACGTGTTTTTTTTTAAATAAAAACAATCTCATTCTTTTGGAGGAATTTGGGAGTAATTTGATCAATTTTGCATATCAATGCTATACTGAAAAATGTTAAAAAATCCAGTTTCTCATTAAGTCCAATATCAGAGTGCCAGGGACAAAGTGATTTTTTTAACCATTTTTCATTAAGAAATTGGGAGTATTCAAAGTATTTTTAAAAAGCGCAACGCTTTCTAATTTATATCTTTGATAAAATGTGTTTACATACATAAAAATGAAAGTGTCGCGCCACTGCGGTAATATGAATAAATTAAGTACCTACTAGCTGTGACCGCGACTTCGTCTGCGTGGGAAAGTATATCAGGAGAATTGTTTCTTTCCTATGGTTGGAATCGAATGGAGTACGATCAATTGTCCATAACGCACGTATGCGGGTAAAATGCCGAATTGGTGGGTGTTAATGAATACTGATGCAGCGGGGCCAAGAGCTTAACTTGCATTCCGAAGCACCGAGGATCAAGCTCAAGATAATAATGATTTGGTCATCCGCCCTATGAACGGCTATATTTTTTCTCACTTCTCTCTCTGCTCTTATGTCTGACCATTTTTTTAGTATATTAGATACTAGCTTTCGCCAGCGGCTTCGCCCCCGTGGACCCTAGGAAAATGTTAAGTGGGATAAAAAGTATCCTATTATCGAAGTCAGCTAATACCCTATATGTATACCAAATTTCATCAAAATCCGTTCAGTAGTTTCGACGTGATTGACGGACAAACATCCAAACAAAGATACTTTCACATTTATATTATTAATAGGAAATAAGATACTCGTATTAGTGATACTTACGCTGTTTCAACTATTTTTCTTTTGATTTTAAATCTTTTAAAATGTACTTAATTTGTTTATCTGTCTAGTTGTATGTGCAATCTAATTATTGTTCGTCGTGTGTTTCCATCCAATGTTAGGTCGCCTGAAAGAAATCGCTGCCAGCGCTAAGTGTGGCTTTAGTACATAGTTATGAATGTTATGTATGAAAAATATATATTATGTTCGTGTCATTCTCTTGTTGTACAATAAAGACTTTACTTACTAACTTAACCGTAAACCGAATGCGCTAACGTCTTAACTTAAAAAAGGGAAATAATTTCATTGTTTTTTTGCATCGAATTGGTTCCGAAAACACGAAACCGATTTTAAAAGTTCTTTCGCCTACGGAAAGCAACGTCATACTCGGGTGACACAGGTTATAATTTATGCGGCTAGTGAACAGTTAATTAAATAGGTACGCTTGTGGTATACAGGCAGGTTGAAGGCAACACCGATTGGCGATAATCTAAAATACGTTCTCGCTCTCTATACTGCAGTCCGAGTTCTTTAAGGGCGACCGCATTTCTCTATCAAAGGAAGTTTCAAACTCAAACAATACTGCATATATACAATCAGCAATTAGACGTGCTTAGTTATCTTCAGGAGTTCTCTGAGAACAAACGCTTGCTGTATGAGTTCTCCGAGAGCTCAAGATATTTTCTCTAACAATTAATGCTTCATATTCAACTTGATAGTGCATGAGCGTCGCGATGGGCATTTAAATACGCTTCGCGCCCATCAAGTATCTCCTGTAACCGAACGCTTGACTTTGTTTGTCAATAAAAGTCATAAGGTCGACAGACATGCCGCCACGTATCTTTCGTCAGACTTGTGCGTCTTATTTGTCGCAGAACGTCAAAATAAATGATGATGATGATAAATATGATCAATCACATTTAATATCATTATCACAGAACACAGAAAGACGTGCTCATATATAATTAAAATCAACATACATTGCAGTATCCAAAATATTGAAACTTATTTTTATATTCATACAAATTTTAACTTTACAGACAATATCAATACGTAGCTCGGATAAACGCCACTACCAGCGAATGTTATTGTTAAGCAATTTTAGCATAGGTTGTTCACGGGATGGGTGACCAATAAATTTTTAAATAAAGGCCTGATCCCCACTGCATGGGGATGTAAAAGAGCTGACGATTGTTTATCATCGTCAACTCTTTTCAGATATCTGAGACTAAAGTCAAAGTCAAAGTCTAAGTCAAAATAATCTTTATTCAAATAGACTTCTTAAAAGTACTTTTGAATCGTCCACATCAAAAGTTCTTTTAAGAAGAAGTAAAATTTAATAAAGCTATTATTTTAATAGTAATTTGAACATAATACTACAAATTGATAAACTTCTTACATTGAAATAAAAATTTGCGTTATACGCCGAAAATTCCATACTTTGGGCTTTTAAAGAATTAACATTGTATCAAATGGTGTACATATTCATGAATCTTAAAATATACAAATAAATAATACATATGTTATAAAATATTTATATAGGGCAATTTCATAGATGTGATCAACTTTAAATGTACCTTATATTCAAGACCGGACAAGCCCCTTATGGGGACCCTCATTCTTTCAAGAAACTAACAGGGTCCGAAACCAAACCAATTCAGTTGGCAATCAAAATACACTCAACGCTCAATACTGTCATAAGTGAATTTTAATTAGATCCCATGCACATGGTAGAAATACCCTGATAGCCATTAGTATAAACTGACACTAAAGAATTTTAAATAAAAAACCCGTTTACAAAATGCAGTCTTTTATTCATAAAAAATTACAAATGCAACAACTTTGGTTTATTCGAACACATTTCTGCGTTATATATGTATTTATAACTAGAAGCTTCCAGGAAGAGTTGGCTAAAAGAAGATAAAGTATGTTTCCCAGTCATATCTATAGCTAAACTAATCAATAAAAGCGCACCAATAGATATAAATGGCTACTCCATCTATTGCCGTTAAAATATTTGCAAGTAGGTACTTCTACAAATTCTGAGGGATATAGGCAATATACTTTAGGGGCAATAAATGAACTAACCCCTAAATAAAGTGTAGTTTAAGGCACCGACAATCAGCAGGCGTAACGTGCGTTATACTGCTTGGAAATCACACTTCCACTATACAGAAACTAGTCGGTCCATATGAAAATACATTTATGTTTCTACGAAAAAAAAATAACACGCGATCTAAATTCCAAGCACAAACTCTTTTTCTCATTAACGGTACCTTTGAAAATGAAGCACCAACAACTAAACATTCTTAATTAAATAAATAACACCAACTTCAAAGTCAACATCAATTCGTGTCCTAAGTCGATTATAATAAACTTATAAACTACGTAATAGGAACTTATTACTTAACATCAAGTAATAAATAACATAACCAACAATAAATGGGCATAATAATCTATGCTAATGCTGTATTGGACGCTCTTATCTTCGAAATAAGTACTATAAACTTTCACTAGTTCACTATGAACTTTAAATTAATTTATAGAGCGATAAACCAATTCATAGATTACTCTTTAACACACTTGCTTCTTTGGATGAAATATCACCTTTTAACACAAATATTAAAGTAGACATTATGGCTAACCCCGAAGCTTAGATAAACTAGAAACATAAACACAATTCTAATCATTATCTACAAAAGCAAGAGGATGATGATAAAGAACGATTGACGAATAAAAAGACTAATTTCTCGTACGCTGACACCGGTTGCGTTCGTCGGTCGGGCGTGCGAATAAAAAAATGTTGTAAGGGACAATGCACAGCGATGCTGTAGGCCACAGGTATTTTTTATTCAAACGCGCGACAGATATGCGCGACCAACGTCAGCATAGAAAGAAATACTAGAGGCGCAAACTAGACAAAATTATATAGAATTAATTATAGCGCAAATAGTTTGAAAGGTCAGCAAAATCAACTCAACGAAGAAAATAATTATCGCCTATGCATGGATGTCGACATTAACAACAGTTCAAGCACAAATACTTAAGTCATATTTGTAACAAAATTTATTGAAATAATAACTATTCATTTATTATTACTGCTCCTCATTTACATTAATGTCACACTATACACTATCACAGAGTTCTCTTAAATCATAGTATGATAGTAAAATCAGAATCATAGCCAAGATCTTGCTCAGAATGAGTGTTTACATTATTACTACATGATTTTGCGGTCTTCGTTGGATTTTTATATTTACGACGTTTATATGACAAAGTATCTGCTGTGCCTTCAAAACGTACATTAGACTTAACTTTATATTCAGATTTAGACCTCTCCTTGTATTCATCCAAAGATATCTTGGATTTCATCGCACTGTTTTCGTGTAGCTTTTCCTTTTTAGTGCTTTTATTGTTGCCGTCTTTATCGAGTGTAGCATTAGCTTTCTTCACAGGATCATTTTTGTGAGAATATATTACCGATTGAGATTGGGGTCCAGGATTACTTAAATATAGAATCTCGAGCGAATTTTCATATGTTGGTATTGGCAAAATAGGAGGAGAATAACCTTTGTTTGTTTTGATTGACTCGTTTGAAACTTTCTTTTCAATGCCACCGCGAGTAAAATTATTGGTTTTGTTTATTATGGTCGACGGTCTTTCTTTAAGTTTAACTGGAGCTATCTTAGGTTTATGACTACTGACTTTCTTTCCATACAAAAAAGCAAGCGGGCTTTTATTTGTTGTATTATTGTTTTCGTTTATTGATCGATTGTTTTTAGCTAATAACTTTTGGGTACACGACAAGTGACATTTACTGGTTTCATTTGGCGATTTCGAATTCGAATAGTTTTCATTAAGCATACGATGAGAACAGAAATTGCATTGTTGTAAGCTTAATTGATTGGGACAATTTCTTTTAAGACATTTAGGTTTATGTGATAAAATATTAGGGAAACTTTGCCCCGATAGTGTGACGCTGTCAGATGTTATTTTTTCTGTCCCAATTTTAGGGCGTTCACAAATATTAATAATATGTGTTAACTTTGGTGCTGGATCTTCTTTCGAAATATCTTTATGTATCGACATCATTTCTTTTTCTAATTCTTCAAACATTTCAGATTTACTGTTTACCGGTTGCGCTGGTGTCTCCGTAGATGTTTTAGATAAAACTTGTAAATTTGCCCTATTTATATTCTGGTTGTTATTACTAAGCACAGAGTTATCAGGAAGAGTAAGGCTTTTGTTTACCCTATCTGTACCGGTCAAAATTTGGATATTCATAACTTTTACTTTCGTTGGTTGATTTCGTTCATTACTCTGTGTCTCATTATTTTGACCCTGATGAGGAGGTGGTGGCGGTGGCGGCGGTGGAGGTGGTGGCGGAGGCGGAGGCGGAGGTGGTGGCCAATACGGCCAATATGTGTTCAACATATTCGTCAAAGGTGATGGTGTGGTTGTGTGTTGTGGTGGGGCCTTGTGATTCAAGTTTTTGTGTATTTTCTTAAATTGTTCAAATTTTGCTTTCTGAGCGTCAGGACACGGCACACAAATATTAGATATAAAATTAGGACAATAACGAGATGAAAAAGATTTATAATAGTTAATTAAATTTGCTGGGGCATTATTTTTTCTCGGCTTTTTTGAAGTATTTGAAGCTGGCCGAAATCCAATTCGTGTTTGTGGCGGTAGTATATGAGAAGGATGATTGTTACTTTCATGTTGTTGTTGTAATACTTTGTAATCAAATTTTCTATTTGTACTCGGTATACTTCCGGATAAGATTGTGGAAGTTATATTATTTGATACCGGATATTTATCAGTATTTTCTGATCCTTTATTTGTATCTTGCATTTCATCTTGATTCTTAGGCATTGGTCCATTAGTACTGACGGCAATATTAGATATATTATCACATGATGTATTAGATTCTTTACCTTGTTTAAGGTCATCATGTATTGTAGTACAATCCATATTTTTAATCCCCTTGTTATTGAATACGCTCACGACATTACTTATAACAATACTCTTTAGAGAATCTTGTGATGTACTCCGAGCTACATCGCGTATAGCAACACTTTTAGTTTCTGATTCTAAGATCGGAGTTTTTGTAGTGTTGTTATTATCATAAATATTTATAGTACCATTAACATTAAACTTTTCAGGTAATATTTCGCATTGTGGTATAGTTTTATTAGATTTCACTTGAGCAAAACCGCCCTTGGGTGTTAGTTTATTACAAGGAAATACTGGAGACTTTATACCAGGATCAACAGGTGTCGAAGATGGTTTACTTTGCGATAACTCTCTTTCTACATGTTCTATAGCAGGCTCATTCAAACAATCACTGTTTTTTTCATTTGTAAAACCTTCAATAGAAAGAGTACACGATTGGAGTTTAATATCAGAAGTTTTCTTTTTTAAATCGTTTAAATATTTATTCGTTTTTGTTTTATCTTTTACGTTACTACGTTTCGTAATTGACACGCTAGGAATGGAAACATTATCCTTTACAATTTCATTCACATCTCTAGTGATTAACTTTCCAATAAGGTTACTTTGATATAACTGTTTCTTTGCTAATCTTTCTCTTATTCTCCTTTCTTTTCGTGCTTGTTTTTTCAATTTTTTTAGATAACTTTTTGTATGTTGAGCTCGTAATGGTTTTGTTATTTCTCCAATTTCATTTTTGCCGTCCGCCTCATTATTAAGTGGTACAATAACAGTACCAACACTATTTAAAGCTTTGTCGATTCCTAATATATAACTATCAACTTCAATTATATCTCCATCCGTTTTTGATGTAGTATTCCGCTTATGAGCAACATCTTTGTATGCTATTGGCTTACCAACTCCGATGCGAGGTTTTATTTTCAATCCTACTAATCCAACATTTCTTTTAAAATCGATTTTTGTTATATTTTGTTTATGCAGTGCTTTATTTTTTTCTATATCTGCTTTAGATGTATAATGTGGCATATTGTTTCGTAATGAGATAAAAAGCGATTTGCGCTTTTTGCTCTTTTTCGTGCTTTTTGGTTCTTCAAAATTGTTCCCTTCTGTATTGATCAAGACTGTTTTGTTATGTATGACCTTATCAGCAATAAATTCACTATTAAGAATTTGACTATCTGCTTGTGTCGCTGTTTGGTTTTTTGAAGTATTGACTTTATAATTCTTATAATACCAAGGATATTTATCACAATCGACAATTTTGATTGCTGCTGGTCGACATTCGTTGAGTAACCTCAAATTAGACGAAATATCAAAAAACGTTACCGGTAGTATGAAGTGAGTTTTTCTGTATGACGAGTCGGTGTTGCCCGAGATTAGAGCTGAAGACTTAGTGTTGGTCATGCCTAATCCAGCTGTGGGACAATCTGAGAAGAGAAAGACAGAGATGTAGATAATCAGGGTAAGTTTTTAATCACTTCACAAAATTGCTACGTAGTAAGGCTGTTAACAAGTTATATACAATAGCAACCTGTTTATCGTCAGTAGATATATGTTTTTATTTTTATCTCAAATATATTAGAAGTTAAAAAAAGGAAAAAAGCGTGAATATGATTTACATTCACGGACGTAATACAAATTGTGCAATCATTACAAATTTCTCTAATATGAACATCTGAATATATCAGATGATTCACGACGACACACACTCTGCAGTTTGTTACATATCATATCAACACTCGAAGGAAAACATGTAGCTGGACTATGACTACGACTTTCGTAGCTGAGTGGTTCCCATGCCGGTTTCAACGTAAACGGATCAATATAAATAATGAACTTCCCTATATAGTCTATTTATAAAACGAACTGAAATAATATAATTATATCCTGTATAGTATAATAAGTATCATAATCTACACTAATATTATAATGAGGAAAATTTTGTTTGTTTGTTTGTGATGAATAGGTTCAAAAACTATTTGACCGATTTAAAAAAATCTTTTACCATTCGAAAGCTACATTATCCACGAGTAACATAGGCTATATTTTAAGACACCATCTACCACTAATCTGTTTAAGTAATAGTCCAATCAAACCTGCGGTTCAAAAGAAATTGTTTGCACTTTTGTATATTTTTTTTTTATCAACACCCATTCCTCTTTATCCTATTACTCTAAATGACAAAAATTACACGAGAAGCTAAAACTAAATTTTGAGTATTTTGAGTGAATAATATAATTTCATCCTCAGGGCCGGATTAGGGCAAGCACGCAGGTGACCCGACCTCCAACCCATAAGTAAACTTATATCGATGTTTTGATAAATATAATATATTTAATACAATAACATATATGAGGATATCAATAAAGTTCTAGAGATAAGTGGAGTAATACACGCGCGGACTTTCAAACAGCCTCACCGTATGCATTTCTTTCTGGCGGGCACCAGACAGAACATGACACCCAATAGTTTCTTAATTTGCTTATGAGCTATCCCGGCACAAGACTGGTTTAACATTCTCTTACTTTCGGAAATCCCAGGATTTATATTTTAATATGTCACTTCCATAATTTCCGAGTCAAAAATTTACTTCACATAAATATGCATCCAAAAATATTTTGTTCTCCGATCATTGCCCATAACAAACTTACCATTAGTTTTCGAGATGGCGTTTATTCTTGCTTGCTCGTAGTCTATCAGTGTTATAGGATCATCTAAATATTCATCGTCAAATAAGTCAACGCCCTCCGAAGTCATGATCTCTGTAACAAAAGAACATCATCATCAGCCCCATAACATCACATAATTAATTTCCCCATTGCTGGGGCAAATTTATTCCCTATGAATGAGATCGAAACTAATCGAATAGAGCGAAGAGAACACAGCACGCCAGGTTACGAAAATATGTCAAAGGATATTGCCAGCCAGCGTCACAACGCATTTATTATATCACGGACAAGGGGAGGAAACAAAGGTTGTAATTTGTGAAGCAAACGTTGCACATTGTTAGTATTTTGAATAGATAATAGTATATGAAACTATTTACTTTCATTAAACCAAATTATTGTTAAATATACTAACAGACACGCTCATTAGTAGCTACTAATGAACATTTGCGCATTAATGGCAAGTGTGTCGTAACATTGCTGGTAATGAGCATACTTAATTCAAGAATGCTCAAAAATCGACACCCGTTTGATTTTTGAGCATGCTTACTTACGGTGAACGTCTGTCACGACCCCCTGTGCACGTCTGAACAGGTTTGCTTATGAGCATATTGTTACTTGCTTTTTATAACTTATTATCAAAGTTACGAGTGTTTATGGAACACAAGTTCGTGAGTATGCCTATAATAAGCATGCCTAAAATAAGCATTTGTGTACAGTGAAAGTCATCAATCAGCTTGCCACTAATGAGCGTTTCTGTCAGTACTTTTAGGCGGCCAATCGTTTGAACCGAGTACACACGGCTGCAGGTCAGGTTAATTTCAAAGTATTCTTCTAAACATTAATATTTAAAATGAAGTGAAGAATTGTTGACAGTTTTGTATAGCTTGACGAGTTGTCGACTGTACCAACTTTAGTCATCATTTTATAATAAAACTTAATTAATGACACAAAGATCATAGGACACTCAGTCAACAGCACATCAGGGTGTTGAGTAAACATTTTCACCTTGACTTTATCCTTGTAATGCGTGAAAAACCGGCACAGCGCCCCTAGCGGTAACTATCAACGATTATCATATTTCATGTATTTTTAACATGCTCAAATAGCAAATAGCGAACATCAACTATCAATATTCATACTCAGCACGTAAAGCGCGATGAACTCGAGACTCTAGCAATAGGTCGAGATTGCTCGAGTGTGAGATATTGCATGGGATATATCTCTGTAAGCTAGAGAGATGGGTCGAGAGTGAGATACCCCTTGTAGTATCTCACATCTTGACCTGCATCCCGAGACTCTCAATTTTGTCATGCTTCTTGTGCTGTACCCAGGTTATACAAATCTGTCAATTAAGCTAAATAAATTCCAATCTATATTAAAAATTAATGTTTGTAAAATAGTGATCGAAATTGATTGCACACATGTTGTGGTAACCTAATGTAATAAAAATAAAACTTATATAACTATAGGATATAAATGTTACATTTGATATACCAATCATTACATACTGTGCAATAATTATATAGAAATGTGCTACTCTTTTAAACAGGGTTTAGTGTGATAATTATGATCAAACATTATCACAAATTTTATCTTGATAAATATACCTTGATAATTATAAAACACTACACTTTTTGTACTTTATGACTTGATATTAAAGGGGATTTATTTAAAAAACTCTCAAATATGTTTTTTTCTGGTAGAGAAAATTGTCTAGGATGGATCTTCAAATCAAATAATAGTTTATTTAATTATGAATGCCCTTCTGTACAAAACGTTGCTGCCAGTAACTATGGATAATTATCAGATATTATTATCCAATTAATCTGATAATTATCATGATAATTATCCAAAAACATAATTATTTTGATAATTATGAACTCTGCATTTAAAAAAGCCATAATTTCAGGGATACAATTAGTTCATATACACTATGTTTACACTACTTATTTAACTTCTAAACATACATAGATTTCATCTAGAACATTTGGCATTTCATAATTATTAAATTAGGCCTAAAGACTTATCACATCTACGCTGTAAATAATATTTTATTTTACCTGCACCAATTTATTTATATTAATATATATCATAAAATAATCAGTGTCATGCCTTCAAGGAAAGCATAAACTAAACCTAACATGTACTATATTAAATAAGAAATTGTTAGTTTTAAATACATGGGGTGTTTAAATATAAAAATAGGATTTTAAATAATCTTGTTCTGTTCACAAGGAATTTATAAAAATGTAAAATATTTCTAAATATCTTATAGATATAAATACAAAACTGCTAACAAGTATATATTTATAATATTTTAGTCATTTAATATTTGTATATTTCTCACTCCCTCTCTGTTGGACCATCAGCCAGTTGCACAATCTTCCATTAAGCTTTAATGACGCCTTTAATCTCTAAATACTGTCAAATTTGTATCTGTAATGTCACTTTAAAGTAATGTCAATTTTAATGGACATTTGTGCAACTGGGTGCATGTTCCTGTCTATTGTTTTTCACTTGTTTTATTAAAAACTAGTTGTTTCATAGCAAAATCACCCACATAAATTATAGTCTATGTCACTCACATATAATGTAGCTTCCCGGAGATGAAAAAAAAATTAAAATCAGTCTAGTAGTTCCATAGCCTATCTGATGCAAAGACACAATCAAATGTTTCCCCTTCAAAATTTTAGTATAGATGGCATGATTACTTAAAACTGTATTTATATAATCTAAAGAAATATATTTTACAGACAACAGCAAACTAAGCATTTATGAAATAAATACTGATATGAAATAATAGATTTAGATTTTATCCTATATTTGTTAAATCACTTTTAATTGAACCTTTATATTAATTAAATACTATTTTTAAAAACACAACAAAATGTTTAAAACAACAACAAAAAAGTGCAATAACTATAACACACATTAATAATTATTATTATTTAAACAAAGATGCAGTTACAATAACTAAAATGATACTTATTATTTTAAGCTTTAAAACTGCTTTTAAATGAAGTGATTGAAATAGATCTCTGTTGTGAATAATGACAAACATATTACAAATCATTTTCAAATAAAGTTCCTAATATTAGTGTTTGTCTCAAAGAGATTAAAATATTATACCTAGTTTAAAGTCTTTGACTATGTAGGTATTTATTTAGATGGTGTCAATAATGCTTAGTAAAGTAAGAAGTTGATGTTAATAAAATTATTTATGTAATATTTACCTTACTAAATTTACTTAGATGGAGAAAACTACAAACCGCTGGGAAAGTTTTCACTTCTTCTCGAAAACTGAATAGAACTAATTCTTATTTAGGTAAACACTAAAAACTTAAATTAACGTTAACAAATAAACTTTCACTTAGAGTTGTATTACAGCAATTTGTAAGTTACTTCAGTATTTCATAGCAAAATTCGAAATGCAGAAGTTTGAAAAATAATTTTGTAATTCGTATCTTACATCAACTGACGACGTTGACGTTTCTTCTTCCCATGACATTGACAGTTTCTTTGATTACCTCCATCCGTTAAAATAATAGATGATATTTATTTTCAAAAGTCGCTTTATTACAACGAGACAAGGCTTATTAGTTTACATTTTATGTTATTTGTTTGATGTTGGTGTTCCAAATTCAAAAAATTAATTTTAAAATTTTTAATCATGATGAATAATAATATTGACTTAATATATGCCTAAAAATACTAGTATTTGAGCTAAGGTTCTTG